TTCTTGTGTGAATACGGCGTGATCATCGACCTTGCGGAGAACAAGCTGACGCTTCGGAAACCTGTTCCATTAACGGAAGATCTCAAAGCGACGTTAGCTGCAATGATAGACCTTATCAGCCACGCAAACCTGCCGCCGCTGTCGACTGTCTTGGTGACCGTCAGTACCGAAGAAGCCACCGGCGGTGTAGCACTATTGGAGGGAAGCGCCCAGCTTCTCCTTAGACGAGGGTCTGGCATTGCAAGAGGCGTAACCGATATCCCGGATGGACGTACCGTGGCTCTTGTCCCCAACTTCCGGCAAGAGCCTCAGCACCTTACAAAGGGTACAGGTGTTTGCTACGCCGAGGAAATTCAGGACTCACCCGCGATCGCCGTGATCTCAGAAGACGCTTCGCCGACGCAGCACAAGAGAACCACGCCGTCAGAGCTCGACATCGACCCGTTTTTTCTAGCCCCACAGCGACAACAGCTGTCTCACGTTCTCGCTTAGTTCAGTGAGTGCTTCGCCACATCGTCAAGGCTACGCCAAAACAGCGGTTGCGAAGCATCGAATTGCTACTGACGATGACGTACAGAGTTTCAGTGAAGGAGAGGGAAACCATTCAGAAAAAAAGTCCAAGAAATGCTTGACGCCCATATTATCCAGCCTTCAAGCAGTCCATGGGCCTCTCCAGTTGTGCTGCTGAAGAAGAGAACGGAACTCTTAGGTTCTGCGTGGGCTATAGGCGGCTGAACGCTGTTACAAAAAGAGATGTCTATCCGCTCCCCCGCATAAATAACACCCTCGATCGTTTACGCCACACCCGATACTTTTCGCCGATAGACTTGAAGAGTGGCTACTGGCAGATTGAGGTCGATGAACAAGACCGCGAGAAGACTGCCTTCGTCACGCCCGATGGACTCTACGAGTTCAATGTGATGCCCTTCGGACTCTGTACGGCGCCGGTGACTTCGCAGTGGGTCGTGGATACCGTGTTAACGGGACTGATCGAAGTGCCAGAGCTGCCAGGTTTACCTGGACGACGTGGTCGTATTTTCGCACGACTTCGACGAGCACTTAAACGGCTTAGGGTCGTGCTCCAAGCCATCAAAACCGCAGGGCTCAGCCAACAAACTGCCACTTCGCCTACGGTGAACTTAAGCTCCTTGGCCATGTCGTCGGTAGCGAAGGGGTACGCCCTTACCCCACGAAGACATCCGACGGAGCCGAAGTTCCTCGACCATCGGACAAGACGGCCATCCGCAGAATCCTGGGGCTGTGCGCGTGCTACATGCGCTTTGTTCAAGATTTCGCAAAAAATTCGGCGCCCCCCACAAATCTTACGAAAGACGCCGTGAAGTTTCAATGGGCAGAAGAACAAGAGCGGATGGTCAACGAACTGAAGCGAAGACTTCAGACACCTCTGATCCTCGCACATTTCGACCACTACGCCGAAACCGAAATTCAAGCGCATGCAAGTAACTCTGGACTTGGCGCGATATTGGTACAGATACAGGAAGGCACGGAGCGGGTCATTGCCTACGCAAGTCTGATAGTGTCGAACGCAGAGAAAAATTACTGCACGACAGAAAAAGAATGTCTCGCAGTCGTATGCATGATCACGAAGTTTCGTGCGTAGATATACGGAAACCTGTTCCGCGTGGTCACACACCACTGCTCACTCTGTTTGCTTGCCAATCTCAGAGACCCTTCGGACGCCTTGCTCGGCGGAGTGTTCGACTCCAAGAATTCGAAATGACGGAAACATAGTGACGCCGACTGCATGTTCAAAGCCCCCGTCAAAACGTCAGGCCAACACCGACGGTAATGTCGACGAGTGTTTCCTAGGTGCCGTGGACACCGACGACATGGCAGGACTTCAGCGGGACGATCCGGAGTTGAGCGCCTTGGTTGAGCATCTCGAATGACGAGGAAGTACCATTCCTCTTATCTTTTCACGAGCCGTGCCGACCTTCGCTATTCGACGAGTTGTCTTTATAAGAAGAATATCGGAACCAGTCATTCGCCGTGGCTTCTGGTAGTTCCTACCAGCCTTCGAGAAGAGATTTTTCAAACCTGCCACGACAATCCGACTTTAGGACACCTAGGTGACAGCCGGACACTATCCCGAATACCTGAAGAATACGACTGGCCCAAGCTTCCAAAGACCGTTCATCTCTACACACGATCGTGCCACGAGTGCCAGCGACGCAAGAAACCACCGTCAAAGCCAGTAGGTGTCCTTTAGCCGATTACCCCTCCAACCAAGCCGTACCACCAAATTGTAATGGATTTGCTCGGTCCCTTCCCACCGTCGACGATGGGAACCGGCTGGATAATTGTAGCCATAGATTATCTTACACGTTACGTCCAGACGAAAGCACATCCGTTAAGGGCTTCTGTCAAAGTCGCCAAGTTCTTAATCGAGTTCATCGTCCTCCGGCATGGCGCCCCTGAAGTCCTTATCACAGATCGAGGGTCATCGTTCATGGCGCAGTTGACCCAAGATATCCTTCGTCCAAGCCACAAGGACCACCGTCGAACAACTAAATACCATCCGCAGACCAACGGGTTGACGGAGCGGCTCAGCAAAAGAATCGCCGACATGGTCTCTATGTACGTCGGCGTGGAGCACAAGACCTGGGACGAAGTGCTGCCCTACGTCACGTTTGCCTATAACGCGGCAGTGTAAGAGACCACGGGAGTGACGCCTTTCCATCTGGTGTATGACCGGAAGGTGACGACTATGCTAGACTCCATGTTGCCGCACAAGCCAGTCGACGAAAGGAGCGAGGACGCCCAGGTGGTTGTTCAACGGGCAGAAGAGGTCCGCCAGATAGCCAGACTACGAATTCAAGACCAGGAACACGTCGACGCCGGCCGGTACTGTGTTCGCCGGCGTGACGTCCACTTTCATCCCGGGGACAGAATATGAGTCTGGACACCCATTAGGCGACGTGGGCTCAGCGAGACGCTTCTCAAACGCTACTTTCGACCCTACAAGGTTCTTCGCCATCTCAGGGACTTAAACTACAAGGTACTTACCGACGGAACTCGACCATCAAGACGACTCCAACTGCAACCTGTAACTAGTCCACGTCGTGCGCCTCAAGCCGTATTACGAATGATACAATTTTGGACTCTCGTCAAACTGTGAACCATGAACTATGGCTTGCGATTCTGCTGTCTTTTTGTTGCGGATTCGTGTTTTCGGTTTGTGCTGTATCGGGACGATGCGCTTTTAAAGGGCATAATGCCGCGCGTAGGGCCGAGAAAGCAACGCTCGGTCACGGACTTCTAGAAGGCTCTCCTTTATTCTTGCTCCAGACTTATATCATTTATTTCTGCTTTCTTGTTCTAGAAAGTGTGTTTTCATTCTCGTCCCAAGCGCGCGACGCTTCAGCCTTCTTTGCCGAATCTTCGAGATAGTGACGCACTCTAGATAAGAGGCCGCCCGCGACCTTGTCGAGTCCGTCTCGCTCCAGCGTTTGTTCCTGCTGTATCGCCGCATCAACGCCTGCGACGCTAACGTTCGTCTATTTTTGGGGGGCACGAGTTCGCCCCATTAAACGTGTAGTTTACTTCAGTTTTCGTCGCCTCATCGCTTGTCATTCGTCGTGCTTATCGTGCTTTAATAGACCCGTTTCTAAAGATTGCCCTCTGCTGGCAGCTCCGGAGCTTCTGCACAAGGGCGGTCTAAAACTGCAAAGTCACGGCACCTTTATGCGTTTTGTTTTGCTAGAAGTCAAAACAGACCCACAGAATAAGGAAAAAAGCGCAGTGACGTTGTACTTTCGATGCTATTTGATTGGCTCCTCAGCTCCTAGCGTTAGGCGAGCTCCGTAGTTCGTTATCTTATGGAATGGCTGCAGGCACGTTCTACGATGTCAGTTGTTCCGCCATTGTGCAGCGGTTCAGAGTTTCGACCTTTTAATAATCGGCACGTGCCTTTCGAAATTGGTCTATTAAACAGTGGTGACACAAAACGAAGCCTATTTTCTTCGCAAAACAATCCACCTTTTCTTTCGTGTTGAATCGAACGTTTCAATAACAACGCTCTGGCGAGTCCATCGCTGCGTTTATTGTTGTTTCCTTTCCAAAGCAACGAACGCGAGCGTTCATGGATTTGGAGGTCGCAAGCGGACGTCCGGATTTCTAAGGCATCTGGCGTATACGCGTGCTTCTCTTCCATTTACGCCATTGTGGCATCCGATAATGAGACATGTACCTCTAGGTGTGTGCGGTTCATTTTACAGCCATTAAATAATCAACATTACTAGAGTATCCACACTCAATTTGCCCATTGTCTCGTTGGCGCCATGATTACGTTCTATTGCTCAGGGCGGGCGCAATTAACGATACAGTTAGCGATTCCAAATTGCGATTTCCCGAGTTTTATACCGGGTTTCAAAAGTGCAATAGATTTCTGGAAGACGGAAAAAGGTTTCCCGCGATTTAAAATTAAGAGTCGGAAAGTAATGAACAGTAAGTAATCTTTTAGCAAAGGATGGCAAAATCAATGTTACTCTGAAACTTAGCGTCCTTTAGTAGCTCTAGATAATTGAACGGAGGCCACTTGTGACTTGAGAAATAACATTCCAAAGCCACGAATTCGAAAAATGCAAAAGTCAGACGCGACTGTTTTGTGCAGCCTTCACCTGCATCTTCCGTGTGCTATTTAGTTTACGCTACGTCAATATGATAAGTATAGATGGTTCAAATTTTTACCAATAATCGCTGACTCCATTTTTAAGAACCCACAACTTTTAGCAGCTCAAAATAATCTACACACTACAAGAAAAGTGGTCTCTATAGAAAACAGCCCAAATGAAGATAGCCTGAATTCAATTGTCATTGAAGGCTTATTACTTTCTTCAATTGTCATTCAAGGAAGTAATTAAACCTTTTGCCTTGGGGCAATGGAAGTTTAATTACACAGATACAACTATGTTTATTGCAACAATCCTGGAGCCAGCGAATTGCGCATCGCGAATACGTGCACAATGCCTGAGACCTACCATTAACAGCACCGTAGAAGCCAGTGATGAAGGCTACGTTGGGTGCAAAATAGCACACAGCGATCGCTACGGGGCCAAGAAATGAGCATCCGAGGAGCACAGCACGAGAGCAGGAACGTCGGCAGATGAAGCCAAACAGTAGATCAGAAATAAAAGCATAGTCTTCTCTAAACCGGAAAGTAAAAATCTAGGCTACTCAGAAGATTTTATTTGTCCAGTCATCGATGAATAACCACAGTCACTAGGGCCAAAGCTTCTAGATAACATGGCAAACTACGTGCTTCTTACAATTACCACAACTGCAAGTTTTAGGAAGCTAATGGCGACGCAGAGCATCAGAATCAGCTTAAAAGCGCATTTTGGTCCCGCAGATGTCACTGTGATGACGTCTAAATGCTAAGTTCACGTGCTTTGTTTGTTGTAAGCGGCGTTGGTGTATGCGGGAGATCGCATATAAAAGAATCATATGCGCTAAACTAAAGCTTTGCTCAAAGTAAATTTAAAGCATATACTTACAGACGCAATATATACGACTGGCATAGTTACTCTAGAATTTATTCTGTTTTTGCGTAGTAAGTCCTCTTTAGTTTGTGCTAGGTAGGTTATAAGAGTTTTCAAACCCAGAAATGGGAATATTTTTTTAGTTATTAAGTGACATACTCGTTAAGCAAAACATGTCTTAGTAACGCGGTGTGAATGTTGAACATCAACATTTCCTCGCCTGAATCTGAACACATGGGAAAAAAAGCTCGACACATAATTTCATTTTCTAATTCCCTAGTTTATCAAGGGCTCGAGAATTCCGTCTTTAAAAAAATAATTTGTGGAAGGGTTGACCGAGTATTTAAAGGGAAACTTTGGTTGAAAACGAAACCAAAATAACTGATTTCGCTTTAGTGGCACGAAATATGATCCCAGTAGAAATAATACGTCAAGGTAAAGCCTAGCAGCTCTGTAGCATGTGCCTAACGGGTTAGCTTTTAGTCGAGCAACACTGGGCGACGCTTACCGCAGCAGAACCTGATGTCCCGTCACAGTGGTGCTGCGGTTGATTCCGCCCGTGGTACCGCGTACTGCAGCACCACCGTAGCGTCACATCGCGGTCGTACAGCTGACATCAGTGTAGCCATTCTTCTCTAGCAGATAGCTTTGGTTTTGCCGTACACAACCGAAATCAAACTTTGATCCGTAATAATATTTTTAAAACCACACAAAACTGTAAAACTACAAACAATAAAAAAAAAAGTTCAGCCTTTCCACTCTCATGAAGAAGGAAGACCAGCGCAGCTGTACTCCATACGCTGCCGCAACGCGCAAGCGCCCGATTCCCGCTTCTTGTCCGACACGCCGCCGATCGCGGACACGTCTCCGGCGAACCAGAGTCGGTCGCACACGGCGCACGTGAAGCCAAACGGGTTCCCCACAAACTCCCTCCGGAACCTCGCCGTCGCACCCGGGAACGGTTCAGCCGGCGTGGAGTGCAGTCGTCGCCCGGCCTCGCGCTTGCGCTTCGCCTCCGTGGCACGATCGTCGTGCGTGGCGTCGGCCCGCCGGCGCCCTTTACATCGCTGGTTGTGTTCTTGGCGGCGGCTTTCCAGGCGAGCGACGTGCTTTTTGACAAGGGAATTTGAAGCCCTGGACGCAGTGGAAGTCGAGGTGACAGCGGCTTTGCGGCGGTTGCGGACCCATTCGCGCTGCCGCGTACGTCGCCGCTGCTTCCGCAGCCCCGCTCCCTTCCCCGAAAGGGCGCGGGGCCGACCCATCGTGAGTCCAAACCGAAACTGATAAGAGCGTAGGAAACAGCGCGCAAAACAGACGAGGACGAAGAAATAACGTGGCGAGCGCTGCGCGCGTTACGTGTGCTTTTCTTCCTCGTCGTCTGTTTTTCGCGCTGTTTCCTACGATGAATTCCCACCAACGCGCCAAACTATCAATTCTTCTATGACAGCTAGAAAGGTTGCCGTCATCTATGAGCGACGGCGGAAACCACACTGGTTGTGTGCTTGCCGCCGTCGCTTATAGATGGCGGTAGCTGTCCAGGTAGGCTTGTGTCGACATACCGGACACGATCCTGGGAAACCTAGCCCTTAACACCTCCGCTGTAATATATATATATATATATATATATATATATATATATATATATATGTATAAACGAACGTATGCAGATGAATGAACCGTAATTAATTCAATGAATCAAAGAATCAAAGTTTTCAGGAACCCGCCGAAAGCCAAAAACGGCGGAGCCAGGATTTGAACTCTGGGTTTCCCAATGTCCGGTCGGGTGCGCTAACCTCTACACCCCAGGCCCAGAGTTCAAATCCTGGCTCCCCCGTTTTTTGGCTTTCGGCGGGTACCTGAAAACTTTGATTCTTTTATTCATTGAATTAATTAGGGTTCATTCATCTGCATATGTTCGTTTATATCCTCCTCGGAGACCACGTACGATGGTGTGAAGTGCCCGTGTTTTATATATATATAGCTTGTAATTTAGAGACACTGACTGAGCTATAAACAGTCGTTGTCCCTAATTTGAAAATATTGACCGGAGTTGCCATTTAAGCAATAATCTATTGCGAAAAAGTTGCCAATTTTAAGTATTGTTCATGATCTTCGTCCAAATGTTTCTTGATGTAATTGTGGTACGCCCTTTACATTCATTTCATCTCTTTCTTCCATCTCTTGTCTGCGTCAAGCATTTCAGGTATAACGAATGACTTGCATTTGAGAACTGAACGCTTCTATTGTTCGTTTGAGCTTAAAGGGACCCTGCAACCACTTTTTTACTGGTTTTTAACTTCTACCGAACTGAACGCGCTGAACGTAGTAACTTAGTAAACTGTTTTTTTTTCTTTTTTTATAATTCGCTTCATATTAAAAGTTATAGGCACATTAATCATTAATATTACAAAAACAAGCGAAAAATAAGATTCTTCATGACCTCCCTGGTCCTGGCTTGGGTGGCCAATGGTAGAGGCGAAGCGACTGGCCGATCGGCTGCGGCTTACGTTGATGGCTGTTTCCCCTGCAGCCGCGTGCACTTGCTTCAGCCCTCCACCGCGCTTGCTGACATGAAATTGCTGGGTCTGTCGGACTTGGAGCTTCGAATCCTCGATAGAAATACGGAGCTCGGAGTACTACCGTACGAGGACATGTGGTCACGCCACGCACACGCGTGGCTGCCCGATGGACCTGGCGTAGCCACCCTAACCGGAGTTGTCCTTGCCCGCGAACCGTGGTGACTGACGAATGGCGGGAGCGAAGGGGAAGACGGGAAAAGGAGGTGAGGTTGAGCAGAGGGACCTACGCGGGAATAAGAATTGATTTGGGACGCTCACGTGAATTCTGTGTACTTATAATGCAATTAAATGCAAAGGTGCAAGCGAGCTGGACATGAATGGCGAAAATAATCCCTGGAGAAGGGGAACAAGAGGGACAAAAGACGAACATAAATCTCCAAACGCAGCTAGGTGACTGGTGAGCGACCGAAAAAATCCGCCTGGTCCGGGTATCGAACCCGGGACCTCTCCATTACAGGTGGAGCGCTCTACCAACTGAGCTAACCAGGGTTTTTTTTTTTTTTTTTTCTTTATTGCAAAGGCAAAACATAAACAGTCAACACGTTAAAAATGGTCTACAACACTTTTTGTAGAGCACATTAAAAACCTCTCATCTTAAGGAGAGGCTCACAAATGCCTAGCCAGTCGGGCTTCGGCTCACGGTTTGAAAGAACACTTTCTACTCGCCTAATGAGGCTGAGCTAACCAGGGGTTAGACGTCAGTAGAGCAAACGGGTTTTACCAGCCGCCACCAGTCTAACGCCAACAAGGGTGAAGCTTGCAAATTTAAGGTTATACTTATAATGTAATTAAATGCAAAGGTGCAAGCGAGCTGTACATGAATGGCGAAAATAATCCCTGGAGAAGGGATTATCCCTTCTCCAGGGATTATCTTCACCTCGGTATACTTCTTCGCCTACGCTGCGTCCCAACAGACACTCCTCAGCGTCGGAATCGCGCTGGCGAAGCCTCTTGGCCCCAACTCGACGACGCTCAAGTTCCGGACAAGTCCGGGCGGGTCTCCCGTGCTTTCGCAAGGAGACAACTTCGTACTTTCGCTTTTTGCAAGAATGTGCCGCCGGCGTCGTGCGTCGTCTGCTGGGATCCTTGGGGCATGGCCTCCGATATCCCGAAGAGAGCGAGCTTCGGAATCATACGAGGGGCGCTTGCGCCGCCTCTTCCACCGCTTCCACCGCTTCCACCGTTTGATGGCGGGTATGTCCAAGGGTGATTTCTTGTTCCCGTACTTTCTGAAATGCATTTGTTTCTTTTCTCATCTAAAATACTTGAAAAAAAGTACTTTCAAAAATATTTGAAACAGTTTGCGCCTCTTAGATTTTGTATTTTGATTAAAATAAAAGCTTTTAGAATCTCTGACCAGTCGTAAGGCAGGAGCTGACCAGGACCCACAACGTCACGAATTCGTTCACATGCCGCACTGATATTCCGTTACTCTCTCCGTGCCCGCTGGGTTGTCCGAACCACAAGAAATGTGGAAACTCCAAAATTGGTAAAAAAAAAAAATTGTTGTGTGTATGTTTATACAGCCGGAAGTTAGTCTGCCTCAGTGGGCGTCTCGTGTCTCAGCTGTAGATGAGTACTCTAGCCAGTGCTGTACAACCGCTATCCTGGGTTCTTTAACGTGCACCACACAGTAGTGACACACGACCGCACGCCGGTACGATGCTTATACAGACCGAAACGGGCAGGTGTGGGGATTGAACCCAGGTTACCTGGGTTCTGCAAAATTAGTAGGCGCTTAAATGGGATTGCAGGGCCCCTTTAAGTCGAGACGCAGCCGACACTACGAGGTAACTGAACCAGTCAAACAGCGTCTAAAGCGCCAGTCACTAGTCCTTTTTTGTTTTGATTGGTTCAGCGATCTTGGAACACGTGCATAAACATGACAAACACAGTGATGGGGCGCTTTGGATGCTCTCTGATTGGTATCATCAGCTCGTAGCGTCGGCGTCGACTGTACTTTGGGTAAAATATAGTATATCGCGACAGCAGCCACTGGCCGCTTTTACATGGACATGCATGCTGCAGTAGCCTATCGAATTGAGACGGAACCAGTCACACGCGCCCTTTTCTTCTTTTTACAGGAGAGCTGTTAAGGGCTAGGTTCCCCAGGATCGTGTCCACCAGCAAAAAAATGATGACACCGAACTCTGGACAGCTACCACCATCTATGAGCGACGGCGGCAACCAGACAATTGGTTGCCGCCGTCGCTCAGAGATGGCGGCAACCTTTCTTCGGAGGGAGAAGAACGGGAGCGGAACGAGCCGGCGATGTGCTCAGCAACGCGAATGGTGCCGCAACCACCGCGAGGCCGCTGCCGGCTTAAGTTCCACTGCGTCGAGAGCTTCAGATTCCCTTGCGAAAGAAGAGCAGATCGCTCGCTTGGAAAGCCGCCGTCGAGAACAGAAGCTACCAGCTCCGCTTCTCTTCCTACTGCACCAGAATGGAAAGGCTGAAAGTTTCAGAGCGCAGCTCTTAGGGGCCCCTTCCCGGCTTGAACGGCGTCGCCGTCGCCGTCGCCGTCGGCGTCGCTGTCGGCGTCGCTGTCGGCGTCGGCGTAACCAAGGTCACCCCAAGCTCACGCGACCCCCCAAGGTCATCCCAAGGTCACGTGGCCCCCAAGGTCACCCCAAGGTCACGTGACCCCCAGAGGTCACGTGAACCCCAAGGTCACGTGACACCCAAAGTCACGTGACCTTCCGCCGAGGTCACGTGACCTCCCCGATGACGTCATCGCCACTGATGACGTCACCGGCATCCACATCGTCATCGTCACCATCACTAATGACGTCATCAGTGACGTCACTGATGACCTCACCGGCATCCGCATCGTCATCGTCATCATCACTGATGACGTCATCAGTTACGCCACTGATGACGTCACCGGCATCCGCATCGTCATCGTCATCATCACGGATGCCGGTGATGTCATCAGTGACGTCACTGATGACGTCATCGGAGTCCGCATCGTCATCGTCACTGATGACGTCATCAGTGACGTCACTGATGACATCACCGGCATCCGCATCGTCATCGTCATCATCAAGATGACGTCATCTGTGACGTCACTGATGACGTCACCGGCATCCGCATCGTCATCGTCATCATCACGGATGACGTCATCAGTGACGTCACTGAGGACATCATCGGCATCGTCAGGTGACCCCCCAAGGTCACGTGACCCCCAAGGTCACGTGACCCCCCCCAGGTCACTTCACCCCCCAGTACCCTTCCCTCCTCCTCCTCCTCAAGAGCTGCGCTCTAATTCGGTGTTACAGGAAGTTGTAAACGACTTTCACTTTTTCTCTACCCAATCGAAATCGTCATTCTCGATTCGATGCGCTACGGTCGCATCCTTATATCTGCGACATCTAACAGTTGAAAACGTACAGCTACTTACTTCATACAAAAAAAAAATTGTATAATGTTTCGCTATCTGGATTCTGGTACTGAAAATATATCTGGATTCCATCAGCATTTCAGTTTTTCGGAAATTATTCTTCTGCCTGTAATCTAGATTTCAAGTTCCAGAAACAATTCCAGGTTAGACTTTCAATTCCATAATCTAGATAGTGAAAAGTTATACTGGGTTTTTCGGTAGGTAATCATATTTACGCTTCTAACCACGTGCTGCGTTTTGTGGCATTTTTATTGGCAAATACAGCAATCTTCTTTTCTACCTAGCGATATGAAGCTTCTTAAGCTGTCTATAGTTGAATATCGAGTACACTTACTGGCAAAGCTTGTGACGACATCGAAGATGGTCAGCGGCCACGTTGCCTCCTCGCGGGACACTTGGAATGTTTCGATGATACCGACGTAGACGATGCCGAAAACCCTGAATCCCAGGCTCCCCATGAACAAACACAAGCTGCAGGAAAGCACAATGATCCAACTCCATCGGGAATCTAGCCCAAAGACTGGATGCCTCTTCAGAGATTCCATGACAGCGACGTTCTGAGACGGAACAGTTCCTAACTAAGCACTTCTGAAATAAAAAGAAAAACAAAACAAGCAATTAAGTTACTCTGTTTTGACCCTTTTATTTGCGTTGTAAAAATTTCTCGTGTTACCTGTGCTCGGGCAAATGTAGGTTGTTCAGCGTAAAACCTCGTGTACAAGACTCGCGATTATTTTGTGCACAAGAATTATGAGTGTCAAAATAAACGAGACTCGTACTTCATTTAGGCGTTGAATCGCTTTTACAGGGTTTGTTTTTAACGCTCCATTTGCTCCATATGTTTTCGGGCTAAAAACCCGCGTGTCCCGGGGTAGGAAAGCATGTCATCTCAGCACGCAGCGAACTCAAAATATTCCTCCTCATGAAGACAAGCATTGCCTTTTGAAGGGACTGCAACATTTCAGAGTGAGAAAGCCATTAAAATACATATGCAAATGAGAAAAAAATATTTAGTAACCTGAATAGAAAAATAATGAAAAAAAAATTTACAACGAAAAAGATAAATTTTTGGTGCCGTATTTACGGAGCAAAACGAACTTGTAGTTGGCGCCGGCCACTATGGTCACGTGGTAGGCCCGACCTGCGGGGATGCCTTTTTAGCACGTCGTCAGGGCGCAACCACGTGACCCCTCCCCCCCCCCCCCTTTCCCCCATCTTTGAAGTTCGTTTAATTTTCACCGCGTTCTCCTCTCTCATTCCGGGGAAGTTCTCTCCGCGTTTTGTTACTTCGTTTCTGTCTTTCTTTTTCCTTCCGCTACAAGGTGGAATTCAGACAGCGGGCTGAAATGCGCTAACATTCCGTAGCCGCCGAAGAAGTTAAAAGGGAGTTTTTGTAAATGGTTTCGGCCATATTGCAACGTTCTCCGCAACCCGCAACAATACCCGGAACTCTATATTCAAGGCCCTCGACGAGCAGGCGCAGTAGCGACTACTTCGTTGCGGAGGGCTTAGCGGAAATGGAAACACTCTCTTCGAAAACTCCCTATGACCTTCCTTTGTGGTTGACGTCCCTCGTTGAAATATTTGCTTGTTTTTTGTTTTGCCACCTCGAACTTTGGAGCTTCGGAGTTCCGACAGGAAAGTGAACGAAAGTGGCGGTCAAACAAATATTTTGCGTGCAGGCGACGTCGCAGTTCAACACGCATTTTCAGAAACGAATATGCGGTGATGTGCAGTTTAATTACCTTTTAAGTAATTTAATATGGCAAAAAAAAAATCCCTTTTACATTAGGGGGTGAGGTGGCACGTAACGCTTGCTTGTTGCGGCACCCTTGCTTTTTAATGATTTATTTCACGTAGTTTATATAGACAAGGGAGCGGTATGTCGTGTCATTAAATTTACAGCTGATTGGAAAATGCGCGTATCTCGTACCACCGCGCCAGAACTTTTGTTTGTTCGCACCGGTCAAGAAACATAAAGGAGGCAATATTAGCACTCGCAACCTTCAATTTAACATTCCCATCGTTTCGTCGTTAACCCGTTCGTTATACACGAACCTAAAAGGAAATCTAAACTAAACAAGGAACTCAGGGAAATACGGTTAAAAACAGGGCAGGAGTCAAGTGCAAGGCGAGACTGTAATCATACGAAGACGCGTTCGCCCGATATGGAGGCACGAAAAGCGCGCCAAATATCTCAATGATACAGGTGTACGCACTTACGCTTCGCCTTTGTCGTTGACTCATATGTTTAAATGAGGCGGGAGCCAAAATGACGTGCGAGCTCAGAACATCGCTCCCGATCGGGCGTGTCTATATTGAGTCTTGCGCCTGTGGACAATGTTGGAAAGTAATTTTTTTTACTCGATACATAAACGAGCACAACACATCAAGTTGATTGTTTCCTCTTTCTTATTTCACCACAAGACCAGCAGATTGCGGTCGTGGTAGTGAAACAGCTGCTCCCATTTCTCTTTTTTGGTATGCTTATAGCAACAAACTTTGCAGCGCAGACACTTTAACTCAATGCTTTATAAATATTTCAAAACGGTGGGCGATTCCAACCCTTACAGCAACCAAAAAGCAGACAGGCAGTTCCCGTAGCAACGCGAGGCTGTCCCTTTAGCAAGCAAAAATGTGCTTCAGTCAAACACACCATCACAGAAACGCGAACTCCGAGGCGCTCGCACTGCGTGGACGTAAGCGATATGACATCATACATATCGCCGGTTTGTAATTCCACACCAATAATAAAGAAAACAACAAAAACTTAAACCTTCCATGAAGTGGAAGGTTTAAGAATTTACAGCCGCTGCGTCGTCGGGCGCAGGCTAGTAGAAAGAAACCTAAAGAAACATAAACGACGACAACGCTTTCCCTCCTTGCTGCAGCCGATAACGGAAGAGCGTTGGGACACGTCGAAGAACTTCGAAACGCGCGACCGCCGCTGCCTCCCGCAGTCCCGAGCCGGACGCACCACGCCACCAAAAATGGCGGACTCCTGTCTGCTGCTGCTGCGCATGCCCCGTGGAGACTCCGGAAAAGGCTCATTTGAAGTTGCGAGCAGGAGGTGTGCGTTGCTTTTAACGAAACGCGAGTTCTCGCGACAAAATTAAACGCAACAGACCGGCATTGAACGCCGAAACCTCGCCGTCGGAACGACAGCGGTGAGCCCAAGCCCTAACGAGGATTAGCGGCGTAGTGCGAACGCACGACCGTCGAGTGTAACAAAATGGTCGACGAAAACAGAGGAGGTTGCCATGGTAACGAGATAGGCAACACTGGTTTGTCGGCAACAGGTATCACAAACGTTGTCGCCACCCTAAACAGCGGAAACATGTAGGCACCCTAGATTCGGCCATTACGGAAACGAAACATCTCAAAAACCGAGCGCTGCAGCCGTGTTGCCAGCAGATGTACGTGTTTTCACCAAACCACGTGCATTAACATATAGTATAAAAACATAAACTTCAGATATTTTATTTCTTTAGTTGCAAATCATTCTCAGCAGTACACATCTGGAATATTGTGCAATGTTTACGTACAAAACGGTTACATAAAAAATGAAAGCTGCTTACAACTCCCTGTAACGCCGAATTAGAGCGCAGCTCTTGAGGAGGAGGAGGGAAGGGCACTGGGGGGTGGGGGGGGGGGGGGTTAAACTAACCAGGGGGTCACGTGACCTTGGGGGTCACGTGACCCCCAATGCCGATGATGTCATCACTGACGTCACTGATGACGTCATCAGTGACGATGACGATGCGGGTACCGATGACGTCATTAGTGACGTCACTGATGGCTTCACCAGTGATGATGACGATGCGAATGTCGGTGACGTCATCAGTGATGATGACGATGACGATGCGGATGTCGGTAACGTCATCAGTGATGATGACGATGACGATGCGGATGCCGGTGACGTCATCAGTGACGATGACGATGATGATGTGGATGCCGGTGACGACATCAGTGACATCACTGATGACGTCATCAGTGATGATGACGATGACGATGCGGATGTCGGTAACGTCATCAGTGATGATGACGATGACGATGTGGATGCCGGTGACGTCATCAGTGATGATGACGATGACGATGTGGATGCCGGTGACGTCATCAGTGATGATGACGATGACGATGTGGATGCCGGTGACGTCATCAGTGACGATGACGTCATTGGGGGTCACGCAACATCGGCGGGGGTCACGTGACCCCGGTGGGGGGCTCGCGCAGTGCATTATGGAACATTTCCCATGATGCACCGGGGTCACGTGACCTCTGAGGGTCACGTGCCCCTTCACGAGGTCACGTGACCCCGGTGGGGGGCTCGCGCGGTGCATTATGGGACATTTCCCATGATGCACCGCGCGGTTACGCCGACGCCGACGCCGACGCCGACGCCGACGCCGACGGCGACGCCGACGGCGACGCCGACGCCGCTCAAGCCGGAAACGGGCCCCTAAGAGCTACGCTCTAAAAAAATACTCTTGCGGGCGATTTTCGGGTGCGTACGAATGCTCTTCTCGAAGTTATGAACCGCCCCTCAGCCTTTGGCCGCGCTAGGATGGAAGCTGAAACGAAGCATACGTGTATGGCGCGTTCACACTGAAGGCTGATCCGCAAACACGAAGCAAATCCGCGCGTTCTCAACCGCAAAGCGGCTAGGATCAAGCGGTTGGAGCGCGTTTTTGCCGACCGCTTCGGACCCGATTTGCCCCAATTAACTGTTCTCACGAACCGCAAAGTGGCAATCAATCGCAACGTGACGCTGACGTGAAGTCAGTGACTTTCGAAAGAAGATGGCACCTGTCGCTGCTGAGGAGTCTAAGGCTCTGTAGTTCTAGCGTTACAGCAGACAAAGTCAACTGAGAAACGGGATGCTCACGCCCGTCCCTGGAATCCACCGCGAAAAGAGTTGACTCGTAATCTTATCAGACTTCGCACCGGTGATTTGGTTCGGGTATGATTTTGTTCATTATTGCGGGTGTCACAGGCCGAAGCTCGCTGCCTTGTAATTCTCTGCCCGTAGAACGTCGGAACCCTCCCCTGATAAACTAAAATGTCAGCTTCCTTACCCACTAACAGTTGTGTGAACTATTGAAAGCATTCGACGCCGTGCATGACCACACCGAAAGCCGATAAAGACGTCGTGAGCCTGATTGCGCAGCAAAAACACTATACCGCGGAGCTGGCACGGTACCTGCGCTAGCTCGACCAGTAGAGTTTACTACTAACAAAAGAAATAAAGGGAACATACTCAAGAAATAAAGTGTACGTGCCAGACAATGCAGAGGTAATTCATACGGCGTTTATTTTTTTTTTCTTTATTTGTGTCTGCGGATACATGTTCCGCAGAGGGGGTTTAAGGCTAAAGGCAAAAAGTGCCTGACGAGGCCTTAACCCCCTCTTGGCATGCGGCGAGCAACAACATCCATATGCAATACACCATACACATATA